CGCTATTTCGAGGTGAACGATCGAGGCAACGGATCATAAGGATGGCTTTTTATCGAATAAAATCGTGACGCATCGTCGGTTGATCCCAACTTGCGTTATTTCATTTATAACCCCTTCCTTCGAGATATGACGAAGAAACATACGAGATCGAGCATCTTAACGAGTTGTGTGCATATAAAACGGTGAAGGATAATTAATTAATATTTCTATAAAGAAAAAGAGAGAGGGAGGGAGGGAGAGAAATTTATTACGGTACTTTTAAAGGCGCGGAACAATTAACGATGAAAAATAAAAAGTGGGGGAGGAAGGGGAAACGTTGCTACAAAGGAAGGAAAGAAGCGTCGCCGGGTGAGATTGGAATACGCGTCTGCCGCATAAATTACTCGATCTCTAATTAAGTAGGACCAAAGCGCTCGTTATGGGCGAGCTGTTAATCATCGGACCCATCGCTGCCGCTGAAATTTTTCGTTCCGCTTGCACGGTCACGTATCTTTGGGCGGAACGAAATTATTCGCCCGCCTTCGGCCACGAAAACGAAAATTTTATCCAATTGTTGACAAATTTACCGTGAACCGGATTGTCGATGATGTGTGCATTTCTGTGTTCATAAGCCGTTGGACAATGTTCATAACCATATGAATAAATAATTTGTTATTATACGCGATACAATATTGGTATTAATTAAGCATTTGTATTGTATCGTGTTTTAATTATCTGTGAATGTAAATATACTTTTAACTGTTAAATACCAAGCAAAGGATAATAACGAGCGATATTATTGAATAAGGAAGGAAGATATGGAATAATGAATAAAGTAAAAGATATAGAGAGGAAATTGTCCTGTTTGTGTCTTATTATTCCTCTTTATATATATTTTTTTTTTTATCAAGAAACGAATAATACATCACGATAATTGAAAAAATTTCCTCAATTGTAAAATAAATTAAATAAATAGAGATTATACGATTTATAATTAAGAGAGGGAAATTTATAACTACGATATTAAAAATATAAATTCATTAATGCAAACTCGTGTTTAAGAATATATCCAATGACTTATGAACGGAAATAAATATGTATCAAAGAATAAAAAGCGGTATGACTCACCATTCGTTGAGTTGTATCACTGCGACCGTTGACACTGCTTGTTCGAAAAATCTCCTTGGTCTAAAATATGCTTTGTATTTGAAAAAAGTATTTCAAAATAAAAAAAGCACACGTACAAAACACACACACAAACACACACGCGCGCGCACATTGAAGTACACCACACACTGAAGTATCTTTTATGGAGATCGTTACACGTGAGGCCGAATGAATGAAATATATACGCGCGTGTATTCGAACATGTACGCGAAACTGTCAACTTGTTATCGATGTCACATTCACGATCAAACTGATATGAAAGCGATGGTGTACGACTCAAGGT